CTCTCTCACACACACACACACACACACACACACACACACACACACACACACACACACACACACACGCCGAAAAACAGCATGGCGCACAATGCGCACCCTTGCAGGGGTAGCGCGTCCCCATGCGCTGCGCGCACCTCGTGCGTGCGCTCGCGCACATGCGCGCACTGTGTCACTGCGCGCATTCCGCAGGCGCACCAGTGCGCCGCAAGTATGCCGTGAACCAGCTGTGCTCACATCAGTTCTTGAAGGAATGCATCTACCCAAAATCATCAGCTATTTTCATTGTTCGTTTTGTGTTTTTTTTCCCCCCCTTCTGATTTAGTTTTAGTGCCCTGCCAGCGAGGCACGGCAGATTACAAGGACAGTTGACACTTTGCACGGAGGGTGCACTCACATGTACTGCGGATTCTGTATGTTGGCTGCTCTCACGTCCAAAGAGTAGTTACTTTTTTTTTTCCTCGTTGTTCTTCGTTTTCTGCTACTCGTTTTTTTTTTTTTTTTTTTTTTTTTTGAGAAAACAATCCGAGTAAATGCTAGGGGTGCTGATGAGAGCAGACACCGCTAGCATGCTCGGGGAGGCTCCATCTATTGGTGGAGAGCAACACCTGCTGGAAACCGGGCCCAGCATCCCTTGACATATAAAACCGGGCGGTCTGAAGTCATGTTATCACGCCACGTGTCCATCCCGCTGTAAACATGAATGGTCGACTAAACCGACAGATAGACACGCTCCAATTAACTGATGTTCTGCTACTGCGGCAGTACCGCCGTGATTATTGGGGGACAGTCACGGCTGTTGCGAGGGCTTACTCTCACCTGTACCCCAGACTCTGTATCCAGCTGCTTTCTGCTTTCTTATTCTCCATTGTTCTTTTTCTTATTGGGAGACTGTAACGGCTGTTGAGAGGGCTTACTCTCACCTGTACCCCAGACTCTGTATCCAGCTGCTTTCACGTCCAAGGACTTTCTGCTTTCGTTTTCTCCATTGTTCTTTTTCTTTGCAACTGCCATGATTGAAGTGGGAATGCAACGCCTGTTGGCAAGGCATACTTTCACATTCACCCCAGACTCTATATCCAGCTGCTTTCACGTCCCTAGCTTTGTGTTTTTCTTTTTTGTTGTTCTTCTTTTTTTTTTTTTTTCTTCTTTTTTTCATTTGCAAGTACCATAAAAGAAAATAAAATGGGACCCAGGCTTGGCAAAACTTTGTGCACAGTGAAATTCAAGGTCGGTAAAAACAGGCTCGGTATCAGTTGTGCTTTAAACCACCAGTACTTGGCCCAGCTATCGATGTCGAGCCTGGAATGCCCCTGCACGCCGATTTTCGCCGAAGCGCCGGGGTACCATTTCGAAATTGTTTTGGCTGGCGCTTCCAGCCATTGAGGTCCGGTACCCCAAAGCCCTAAAGGCGCAGCGTGTTAACGGGAAAGCGCCGCGGCCGATAGCCGGGCCAAGTACTGATCGTTTAAGGAGGCAGTAGCCCCCCAGGGGCTCGGTAATTGCAGGGACGCCCGTGGGTCCCCCATACCCCCCCCCCCAGCGTGGTGCACAGGGCTCGACCGGGGGCCTGCCAGGCCAGTCGGCCGTCCGGTCCTACCGGCCGGCAGGCTGCTGGTCGGGGGAGGGCCCCCCGGTCCAACCAGGGACCAGCCCTGTTTCAAAGCACAACCAACAAACAATTCATCAGTTCTAAGGACAAGAGAACCATTGGAGACAAGGTCTGCCATAGCAAAAGACTGTGACTTTACCTCCAGCAGCACGTCCTTGCTATCATCCAGCACAATCGACTCAAATGTCTTCCCAACAACCACCTTGACATCCTCATCGTTCTGCATTACAGACAGCCACCAATTAAAATGTGTCATTAGACTCATTACAATGCAAAAAACAGGCAAAACATGTAAAACATTACAAGCACAAACCGTTTGAGACGTACCAAAACACGATCCCTCCCACACCATACGAAAAACATGGAAATCAGCAGCGAATGACACCATTCTCCCAAAAGCACGCGACAAGACATTCTCTCTCTCTCTCTCTCTCTCTCTCTCTCTCTCTCTCTCTCTCTCTCAGACAGCAACACCACAGCAAAAACACATATTGCCTCCACAACCCCCAACCTCAAAGAATATCCTTGCCAGCTGGCAATACAGACCAAAACATGACTTGAGAGCACAGTCCACCAGCCACTCACCGTCTCCGGAATTTCCTCAGACTTGAATGATGCCTCGATCTTCCCGGCAGCGAAATCCTTACCCCAAACCTGTTGAGGAACAAAGAACACAATGAACGACTGTCGATCACTGAACAACCTCATGGGAACTGACTACTATGTCCGTTAATCACTCCATAACAACTCCTGTCAGAGAGCCTGTGCCGCTTGTGGAACCAAATACCGATAATTTGCAAACACCCAAACAACCAATTCATACGAAAGCAGAAAAGCCATTCACAGCCGTGTGCAACCAAACTCGTGCACAGCCATGACCAGACCAGAATCCGCAATACATACACCCTTACAATTGGTTCGTAAAAGCAGAAGAGCCATTCACAGTCGTCTTCATAAAATGGCAACCAAACTTGTGCACAGACATAACAACATCGGAATACGAAATACATACCACAATGTTCTCATGGTTCAGCTCCTTCCCGAACGGGAACTTCTTGGACTCCTCGAGGGTGGAATAACCGAAGATCTGTACCACCGAATGCACGTTCACAGACAAGGACAACAAATGCTCCAAAAAATCAGCGAAAAAAAGCGGTTACTCCAACTTACTCGTACACTGCTTCAGCTGGTACACCCATGAAGTGTTAAAATACAGACCTGAGTTTGCATCCGCAAGGACTGAGACAAATGACATCATTCTGAATTCACCCAGGTCGGGTCAGTCCAAAGATGATACCCCAGCGCTATCACCCCACCCCCGCCACCCAACCACCTCCAACCACCCTCCCCAAAAAAGAAAACAACAGTCATTAAGGCCACAAGAAACAAACCATTCCTTAACCATGCCTTCCTGATCTGCTGCGTGGTTTGCCGAACCCAACAATCAGAGACCAATTCAGCCAAAACCGTGATTCCTTTGAGCTCGGCTCCTGGTTCAGATCATGGTCAGACAGACACCGCACTGCCCCAGGGCCCCAACAATATCAGAGAGACAGCATACTGCCAATACACCAGAATTGCCCTGGGGCCCCATCAACATTAGAGAGACACCACACTCCCAATATACCACAATTACCCCAGGGCCCAGACGTATCTTTCATTCACCCCCAGGTAGGGAGAAAACAGATACCAAGCATGGGTCTAATCCCAAAGCATAAAAACTCCCAAAGCATCAAAACCATATGAACACCAAATGATATAATCCACCAAGCACAGCTGAATCGGATCAACGCCCATGCACAACAAGGCAATTCAACAGCAAACACAGTGCACAACCGCACATAAAATGGGACACCACAACAAGCAAGCGAATCCGCACAGAGTGCCACAAGGAGATTATGTCTGAAAATATGTACAAAATACTTACAGCCACAGCATCTGACTCGAGGCCGAAGAACTCGTACACCTGTGAAGAATCCTCGTGATCGGCCTGAACATGGACACAGATCACCTGCAGAACAAGCAAACAAAAATTGTAACAGCCATTAGAAAAAGTTGAAAAACCAGACATACACCAGCCCACAGACCTAGTTTGCCTTCACCCCTGCATATCTGAAAACCACAGTCAAGGAAATCTATTTGGGGCCTTGGGCACATGCATGCTTGCCTATCATCCTCACAAAAACATTTGCAGCCCATGTGCACTCAAGGTAGAGACCCAAAACAACTCTGGGGACTCCAATTCCCACATTGCTACAGAGTACACGGCAAATCGATGGTTCTCCGAGCTGCTCAACTACCAATGCGGCCCATCTATGCAGATGGATTCAGCCACACAATGCATCACGGCCATAACACTTCAAAAAAATGGTAAAGAAGCATTCCTGCGATGGCTCACCCCTTGGCATAAGGCCCTGCAGCAGGCGCATGGCTACCCTAAGTGAAGGCGGGCCCCCTCTGAATCTCAACGTGCCCTGAACTCGTCACTTTTCACAAATTTTGGTGGGCGCCACACCAGTTGGGTACACCCGCTTTGCTCGTGAGAGTCGGAAATATTCGTGAGCCTTCCAGGCTCTTCCAGCAACGTCGTCGAAGCAGGGAACACCGCACACTCGTGCCTGTGGTTGGGCATGACTAACCAATTCGGCTCCAGGCCACTGTCTGAACGGGCCTGGGCGCAAACACGTTGGCCCAGCGTGAAGCTAGAGGGCACATGAGGGTCAAAGCCGGGATGCAAACTGGGTGGAGCCTTTTCCATAAACGAAAGAGCCCGCCAGGCAAAAGACATTCGGGCACTTGCATTTGCGGGCGGCATCACTGCTGGAGCGAATGCTCGCGGGCTGCTTGCTGTGCTAGCGCTGGTGCTGTGTGCACACGCAGAAGTGCAGGGTGTAGGGCGCTGCTGAGGGCAGCACCATAGCCAGCCCCCATAGCCAGGCTTGGCTTGGACATAGCCAGTGGAGGTGGTGGTGGTCTTCATGTATGGGGGAGAAGTCATGGGCGATGAAGTAGAGGTTGAGAGAGAGAGAGAGAGAGATGGGGTTGAGCATTCGAGGGCACGTACCTGGTCTTAGCGATTCTCTACAGGGTCGACGTCTTCATGCACTTCGGTTGTTGCCGCTGACGTCAACAGGTTGCATTGTCAATTCGTAGGCTGGTAATAGCTGTGTGATTGTAGTCTGGGCGTTGAGCGCCAAGTAGGAGGAAGGGCTCTGGATACATATGCTGCTGGTGCTTTGGTTCTCCGTTGGTGGAATATCAGTGAATTTCTGCTTTCTGGACAGCGTTGGACTTTCTGGCTTTCAATGTGATTTTACATTCTGGAATTCTGTCATTTCGCTATCGCTCATTTTCCTTGCATCCCCGATTAACAATATCACAGAAAATAGGAGATTTTATTATCGTAGTGACAATCGGGGATCAAGCCAACCAATTACGTGACCAGATTCATTCCATAAATATCTTCTGCCGGCAAGCTCCTACCATAAACGTTTTTTTTCCTGAGTGGGAATTACCTTCTAAGCCATCACCTCCGCCCCAGTAAATCACATCATGAACAACCGGAACATCTGATATTTCATTAACACACTGATGAAGATCTTCCATAGCCGCTAGAGCTTCAACGAGGAACAATGCCTAATTCAACCGACTTGAACAGTCAGCACAGCTGACCCACAAAAACAAAAATAAACAATTACCTTCCAAGGCCTCAAATAAGCAAATATGTATATAAAAACGAGACTGCGAGGATTCAGTCCCTCGGCAGTGTTGAAAAAGGCCGTGCCCAACCTAAGTGAATGCAGGCCGGCAAATATGTGCCCATTACTGATTATAGGCAGGTGTGACCAGGCGAAAGGGCCCAAGCAGAGCCTGTTGGAATCTCTACGTCGGTTTGGAATCTTTGGATCTTCGACGAGGCCTTTCGCAAGTTTACTGGGCCTAGGCCTCACACCAGGAGTTACTTGGCGCCTGCCAGTTACGGGGCACCGCATGTGTGACCCCAGCCCAAGAGCCTTCTAGACCCCTCCAATCAGTGGAAGGAGAGTTATCGGCGAATCAGATCGTACCAAAAAGCATCAGCCACGTTTGGCAGTTGAGCCTTCTGACCGAGCGGGGCCGAGGGCACGAATGGTCAGGGCCCTGGGCGTGTACAGCAAAGAGCATGGAGGCCGACATGTCGCACAGCGGACGTGGTCCAATGAAAATGCAGCTCCCGTGTCACACACTGGCCACAAGCTAACCAAAATGCAGCGAACACTTCTCGTGGCATACTTAGGCGTGCCTAACTGTATTGGGCCCAGGCCAGTATCGCAACCGGCCCTGGGCGCATACACTTTGGTTCTATTGGAAGCTACTAGAAACTCCCACGAGCAGGCCCAGGCAGATAGAAGCTACCTGCACTTTCCATAAAGGGAAGTGCCTGCCTCGTGGCGAGGCATTCTGGCCGTGTGCTTGCTGGCGGTAGCGCTGCTGGTTTGAGCACTGGATGCCGCTGGTAGGCCTGGGGCTGAAGGGCGCACACAGGCGCTGGTGGCGGGCACTGCATGGGAGCAGCCCGCGCAGCACTGCATCTATCCGGGTGAAGACGGTCGCGTTGAAACTCTTACTATTTCAGGGTGATTCATACCCCTTTCCAACAGCCCGTGATAGTCAAGAATCCAACAACCTACTTTCGAACATCCTCACTCTTGAATTCTTCATTTCCCACCACCACTACAATACAATATGCACAGATTTTCTCATGCTGGACTGCCAAGAACAACTATACCGCACGTCATTATCGACGCCTCTGGACTAAAAATTGTAGCAAATACAGCTGTAAACGCAGGTCATTATCGCTGCATCTATTCGGGTGAAGACGGTAGCGTTGAAATTACTGTTTCAGGCGTGATTCATACCACTTTCCCAAAGCCCGTGATAGTCGAGAATCCAACAACCTACTTCAGGCCATCCTCACTCTCGTATTCTTCATTTGCCACCACCACTACAACACAATATGCACAGATTTTCTCATGCTGGACTGCCAAGAACCATTATAGTACCTGGCCTTGTCAGGCTTGGCGGGTCGGGTTTCAGAGGKATTTACTATTTATTGAATGCATCGCTATGTCATAAGACTATTACTCTATGTCTAAAATATCCCTCACATATTCGCACCTACGCACATGATGGAAGAGGTACCAATACCAGCGAAACCTAGCTCCGTTGGTACACCCATGGACGAAGCAGACCTATGTGGGAATCCAGACCGCACTAGATGACTGAAATAAAATATGTATGATCTTCCCTTGGGCCGATACGTCCGATGATGATGTCAAGGCCGTCGCCCTTTTCAAAAAAAGCAAAAAAAAAAGAGATAGCAATGGTGGAAAGGTACTCACATCGCCCTTGAGCTCACCGCACGCCTTCTTAAACAGAGGGAGAATCTCTGCCTCCTTGTCTGCTGGGAGGAACAACAGAGCCTGCACAGCACACCCGGAAACCAAAAGATGACTTCAGCACAGATTCAAAAGCATTAAACACTCAGTAACCACGCATCCGACAAGAGTAAACAGAGAGAAAAGGGGTGGAAGGGGGAGGAGGCGGTGAATGCCCTTCCCTGGAGACCGACCTCTCACTCTAACCCATTGTAAGGAAAGGCCATAACGAGCAGCTCACCAAAAGCTGTGTGGTGAAATGTCGTCCCCTACTAAAACTGTAATAGCGGTAAAATAATAAACGCCCTCAGACATGTCAACTTGCAGCAGCTAAAGACAAGAGGGGAGTTGGTAGTGGGGAGTGCAGAGTTTTTAAAGTCTAGCAAGACTATATAACATGGGCCTTACCTGCTTCTTCACAGCACTGCCAAAGATCATTTCAACATTGCCGGTCGTGAACAATGTAACAATCGGCAGCTTGTTGGCAGCGACAAACTTGCTGAGATCATCATAGACAAACTCGCCATCTGTTTATCCATCACAAAAAGAAATGAAGCTTGTTAATGAGAACCATCAATAGCGGATGCTCTGTAAAGGTGGAAAGAAGTTAAAAAAACTTCATTGATTCCGTCCATTCTGAACAAAGAGATTCAAGTTCCTCAATGAGAATGAAGAATCATCCACAGCAGTCTTCTCTTAAATCAGATACCAAAAAAAAAAAAAAAAAAAAAAAAAAAACAGAACACACTGATCTCACTGACAAGCAACGGCGGATTACTCACGCCATGCACAACAACAAAGAATGTAGTCACACAGTTCTTCTTGATGAAGACAGGACATCTAAAAAAGAACGGAGTGAAGACACAGCAAGAGTAGACGAAAGGAGTCCACGATTGCACAATCTTTTTTTTTGCTGAAGTAATGAGAATAGAGTCAACAGACACTACAGTTGATCTCATTTAAAAGACAGAGAAAGGATCGCACACTCTTGAATATTCACATGCTGATCTTTTCCTTTTGTCGTTTTATGTTTATGTTTTTTCTCTTGGTTGTGGCCAAATAGTAAAAACTGAAGGCCTAAAAGAAGCAAAACACCAGGACGAGCAATTGGTTACATCCTATTCAATGCCAAGAAGATACAAACCTACAGTTAGTTATTGCAAAAATTTTACACCTCGGCATACTTGCGTAAGGCCCTGCAGCGAGCGCGTGCCCACCTAAGTGAAGACGGGCCCTGAATTCGTCAATTCTTCCAAATCTTTTTGGGCGCCAGACAGTTGCCACATGCCAGTTGGTTACATCTGCCTTGCTCTTGAGAATCTGAAATATTCTTGGACCTTGCCAGGCGCTTCCAGCAACATGGTGAACGCAGGAAACACCAGGCGTTTGTGCCTGGGTGGTTGGGCATGCCTACCCAATTTGTCCCAGGCCACTGTCTGAACGGGGCTGGGCACAGACACTTTGGCCGAGAGTCGAACTACGGGAAACTCGGTCCAGACGGCAGAGAGCAGGCAGCGCGCCCGCACTTTCGATAAAGGAAATTGCCGGGAGCAGAAGGAGGCATTGATGGATCAGTGTGCAATGGGGAAGCGCTGCTTGACCTTAGGCTCGCGGCCAAGGCAGTGCGCTAGCGCTGGGTGCTGGAGCGTGTGCGCATGGAGTAGCACGAGAGGAAAGGGCGCTGCGGAGTGGCAGTGCCATAGCCAAGGCCATCATAGCCAGGCTCGGCTTGGAAACAGCAGGTAGGGTTGATGGTGGTCTTTGTGGTAGAGGAAGAAGACGTGGGTGAAGAAGGGGAGAGATGGAGAGAGAGAGAGAGAGAGAGAGAGAGAGAGAGATGAGGATGATGATGTGAGGGCACGTACCTGGTCTTGGTGATAGTCTACATGGTCGACATCTTCACGTACTTCGGTTGTTGCTGCTGACGTCAACAGGTTGCATTGTCAATTCATAGGCTGGTTAGTAGCTGTGTGATTGCAGTCTGGGCGCTGAGCGCCAAGTAGGAGGAATGGCTCTGGATACATACGCTGGAGGTGGCGAGAGTATTACTCTCATTGACATTTGGATTCGGTGCTTGGGTTCTTTGTTGATGGAATATCAGTGCATTTCTGCTTTCTGGACAGTGTTCGACTATCTGGCTTTCAACGTGATTTTTTAGTCCGGAATTCTTTTTTTGTTTTTGTTAATTTGGACCATTTCTCGAATTATGTGTGTCATCCTTGCGCATGGGCCGTGACTAATCTCCTCTGTATTGATCCAATTTTAACAGATGTCCGGAAGGACTGCAGTCTGGAATTCTCTCATTTCCCTATCGCTCATTTTCCTTGCAATTCGGTATCCGAGCTGGTTCCAGCCGCTCTGCTGCTCCTTAGCAATAGCTGTTTGGTGCTTCGCTGAATATGGTGGGGCAGTGATAACGCTCTGCGTTGGGTAGTGTTGGCAGCCCAGTGTTGTGTGGGCGCGCCGGGAAGGCTATGTGGTGACATAGGGCTGCACGCTGGATGATGAGAGCTCGCTGATTTGGCATTTAAGCCAAGGTGGAACTGCATCTACGCTCAAAGACCGGCTTCATAGACGATAGCTTCCTTTTCACAAAAGCAATACTTCAGAAAATACGAAATGCGCATCAGTTCTGACTTGCCAGTGCAATAGGAACCGGACTGACGCTCCCCAGAATGGATACGCAGCCGAAACCATAAGGCTATGTAAAACAAAAAAGAAGAAAAAAAAAAGAACTGTGCCTCCCATTCTAGGAAACCATACCGGAGAATGAACTCTATCGAGGACACATATGGCGACCAGGCCATTTTTGGCAGAAATGACAAAGGAATGATCATCGCCGCACAAGAATCAAAACTGCTGACGTCTCTTCATGATTTAAAACCCTCTTCTTGTCTATTCTGGGCGGCGGGCCAGTCCGGTTGCTCTTTGTGTTTTGGAGTGTATATATAATAAAAAAAAAAAGGGAAAGCCCTCTTCTTCCTGGTCTGTTCTTTCTCCCTCATATTCTGCATATGTCTGTCCTATGCTTGGTGGTGATAAGCAACCAAACTGACACCCCCCAGAAGAGGGGGCCTCACTATCAAAAAAAAGAAAAGCCCTCTTCTCACGTGCTGCAGTGAAGCCAGTCAGATGAGAAGCTAAAAACAGAGTAGAAACGTTTCTAGTCGTGATACAAGTCTGACTCAGTGCAGCAATCATGTCACGAGAAATCGTATATGTGTCCATGCTCAAAGTACGTGCAATCTCCTGAGATTGGTGTGTGGTATGAGTCAGCCTTGCATTATTACAACACCAGCGCGAAGCCAGCACAAGGCAGAATGCCCAACACAGTGGCCGAGTCAACATTTTGTAGTGTTGACTCGAGTTGACCAGCCCCCAGTCTCCATCGGTCGATGGTCCAGATCATTCGGAAGCCAATGGCCTGGATGCTGCGCAGTTGCAGATTTCCCATGTGTCCCACTTGGACTGGATTCTTCCGGATACCTGCAGATAACCAATGATGTGCATCTGATCTACAGCCGTGGCTGACCAGCGGGTTGACTTTGACTTCTGTTTCGGGCCTTTGACCAAAAGTGACGTCCTAGAGTTCGCTGCTATGCAGACTTGCGACAAGTTATTGCACTCTGAACAACCAATGTGACAACAGTAATAGTTCTCTGTTGTGGCTGTCGCACTACCAGCTTGTGTGACAACCCACTCCATCTGCTACTACTCTCAAGTACGCTTGGCCAATATACCATAATATTTCTTTGCCCTGCCGTCTCCCTATATTCTGAGGCTGGGAGCATTATGGAACAGGCAGGCAGCACCTCCTGGAAGAATCAGGATCTGGCTGCAACAGACTGCGATCCAGACAGCCCCTAGTGGGACCTCAACCAGTCTGGCCCAGTCTTTACCAAAACTGGCCATGCCCTTTTCCCCTTCCGGCCTTCGCTAAGTGCCCTTCTTTCCTCGGCATAGCTGGGGGACCCTCACAGGCACACAACCAAAACGAAAACAAAAAAGAAAAAGAAAAAGTGAGGGGGGGGAAGAGGGGGAAACGGAAAGTGCACATACCGAAAGCAGTAAACTTCTCATCCTCGGCCTTAACGACCGCAAAAGCAGGTGCCTTAGCCGTGATGCCAGCAGCAGCTGCTGCCTCAGCACTTGTGGTTTGAGCAAAGGACAAAGCGTCTTCATTCTTTGCCACCTGCTGAAAATGCTCCCATTCCTTGCCCTGAGCATCCATCCAGTCACAAACCAAAAGGCATCAGAAAATCTGCAAGTGGAAGTCTCTAGGACCATAATGCACTGACAGCAGAACATGCCAAAAATACCATTTCTTTTTTTTATCCCCAAAAAATACAGCCGTCTTCGCCTCATATATGGGGGTCAGTTGTATTTTTACTAGGCTATTTTCTTCTCATGAATCAGCCTCACACTGAATATGTCATACGCAGAACAGAAACCGCATCGCAGATCCGCAGGACATCATCATATGCACAATGGACACAGCATGGTAAGGGTTACAAGTTTAAATCCCCTCAGGCTCGCAGGTGTCAACCCTGAGGGGATAGGCAAAAATACCAACCAATCTCGTTTCTAAAAAAAAAACTTTCCCCATAGCACTTCATTGAGAGACTGAGTCTGATAGCGAACGAGAACAAAAGCAGCTTCTCGGGATTATTCCATTCCACTGGAAAAGCAACCTCACCAAGTGGCCCGCCATTGTGTAATAAAAATAACTAAAAAGACGAAAGATGCAGCTGTCAAGAGAGGCTATGACAAATCTGCAGAAATACTCAAAGAGGAAATTTGTTTGCCAGTTAAGACAAACTAGGGGGGCATACTCTCACACTACGACTTCCCCATTCGCATCTGACTGCAATCACGTCCATAGATTTGTCTAAAAGCACATGCAATCACGTCCAGAGATTTGTCTAAAAGAGCATTGAACAAGCAGATAACAAACAGGTGGACGATCGCGTTCTGCAAATTGGTCGTGTAATCAGTCGCCACAATTTCACATGAACAGCAAAGCAAGACATCAGGTCTATTTATAGCTTACCAGAGAGAACGGTTACAGCTAACACTCATCTGACACCAAGCAAAAAAGGGGGCAGGTATCAGCCAGCTTTACCTCAAACTTCTTGAAGAAGCCAACACCTGCTGCACTGTTCGCGGCCAAGAAGTCGGTCATCTCCTTCGCTGTGGAAATGGTATTAGCCGGGGGACCAGTCTTCTTCTTAACCCACTGCACAATCTCATCCCTACAACAACAAACAACAACCCAAAAGAAAACGAAAAGAAAAGCAAATAGAGTCATTACACAGCAGGATGTTCCCTTAGGCCACAAGGGGCTGTGTCTCCCTGTGGAATACCAGGGAGCAGGGCGATTCCAACTCCTCCTACAACAGAATCTACAAGAGTCAAGTAAAGAGTGCAGTGTGAACACGACGAAGGGAGAGTGAGTCCAGTACGGGACAGCGGGCACATCCAACAGCGGCACCTCTGGAGGCAGTGGGTGGGCAGGCAGTGGTGGTGGGACCGGTGTTGGGAGGAGCACGTGAGAAATACTGTTGACTATCTCGACTGGGAGCATGAAGACCTGAAGCTCTACGGGCGGCGGTGCCACCAATGGGAGTGGGAGTTCCTCTGGTAGTGGTGGGAGCGTCTCCGTTGGAATTAATGGCGCTGAGTGTTAACTAAGCCACTCTCTAGCACGAAATATTTAAGAGTGCATTAACCCAGCGATATTTTTGTACTCCTTACGAGTGGCTTACTTCATGACTATCGTGCACGATAATATCTGGAAATACTGTCACCCTCTTTCAAGCTCCTCCTGCTATGTGCTTCGGTGTCACTGGCGGCAATCTTGATTGTATTTAGTCATTAGTATTTTGTATCTGGGCGTATGTTTCGTTTGGTGCACTCTTCCTTTGTTCGTTTGGTGCACTCTTCCTTTGTTTTCTTCTATGCAAAACCTCGTGTAGTGCAGTAGTTTGCTCATACTCTGCATTGGGTCGTAAGGTTGGATTCAGGCAACCCTCCATCCCTATTCCCATATCAGAGCCTTAGTATAACATAGTAATTTCAAAATTGCGTGTAGCGTTTATCTCACCAAATCTTACCTAATCTAGAGGCTATTTCAAGGAATCTTCACTGCGGGTTCTCGGCTTTAGTTTGGTTGGTAAATGTCGAAGGTTGGGGGTTGTTCCTAGAAGGCAACGGAACTATTGGAGGTGGTGGGAGACCTAATAGTTGTGGGAACGTTGCTGACCTACTRTGGCACAACAGAATAGCATTTAGCTGTCAAGAGAGCAAACTTGGGTTGTACCCATTGAGATCTAGGGTGCCTGGGAGATGGCAGTTCCTACAGAGGTCCAAGGGTGCAAGGTGGGAAACCTCATCACGGCAACCCAGGCTCCCCACGACTACTAGCTGCTCTGTCGGGCCAGAATTGGTGCTGTATTCCTTCGGTGGAAATTACTTGATCTGCTCGTTGGGCGAATCCTTTTCTTCAACTCTCCAGATTCCTTTCTAGTTCACAATCTGTTATTTGGCTTTGTTCCTTAGGGTTTAGTTTATACCATGACTATTATAATTTCAAATGGCGGTGTGCCGTTTTCTGGCCATCTGCATAGGCTGGACTCGTAGGCTTGCTACAGATTTTTCGAACATGGATTTTGAGTTGGCGACAGTTCAAGGGTGCTGTTGATTTAGACATTTAAGATTTCAATTCCATAGGGATAGCTGGTTTCTCAGCTCTGGTGCTTCACGCTCGGAAATGAATTTGAAATCGTTTTAGGTTGCCGGATAGGTACTAAGACCTTTTTACTGCGCTTCAGGGGAATTTTTTGAGAAGCTTCTTTGAGATAACAGAGTGAGAAAATGGGACACTGGACCCGGCTTCCAGTTCTGCCGAAGCTGGGTAATGGCCCCAGTATGTTCATCCGGGTTGAATTGTGAGGTCCCCGGCCTCTTTCAAAATTCTGTTATTTGACCAACTTCTTAAATTTGAAAAAAAAAAAAAAAAAAAAAAAAAACTAATGCCTACTGCTTCCCATTTCTGGAAAGCACTAACGCCCACTGCTAACCATTCGATTCCAAGCAAGTCGGTTTGGATCTGGCACTACCGTTTGCCTTTTTCTTCAAGGCCTTGAATCAGGCACTACCATTTGTCTTTTTTGCTTCAAGGCCACCAGCCTCCATTGCCAGCCCCACACCAAGACGCCTGTTAGTTATGCATTTGATGACCCTGAAGTACATCCAGGGAAATACGGTAGCCGGTCCCTCCACAACACCTGGAGCGTCCTCTCAGAAACACCTAATTTATTTTCATTCGTTGCAACAAGCCAAGATTTATGTGCTACGAGAGAGCACCGAAGGTTTTTCTCCTCTGCGTGTGGCTTGTGGCGAACCGGGCCCAAGGAAAATGCTCCGGCGCTCATTGGAAAGCCAGGTCACAGCTGAGTTTGAATGTGAAAGTTGGTCTGATCTCCATGAGAGCGACTCTCTTCTGTTTCAAGGAGCTCCCGGGGAGACTTCTCCGTCTATTCCAAGAACGTGTGTGCCCCAATTCCGATCAAAGCAGTCAGACCCTCAAACTGACAGACGCTGCCCCCCCCCCCCTGACCACTGTAGCTGGGTCAAAATGTGAGAGCTTTCCGCTCCTGTAATTTTGTGCCCAGATTTGGCTCTAGAGTAAAGAACATGAAAAAGAAGAAAAGAAAAAAACAGCAAGCCAATCTTCTCAAAGTGGGCCCATCTTCACAAATCGGGATGTAAATGTGGGTCTGTTGTTGTTTACGACCCCGTTCTTGTAATTTTGTGCCCAGATTTGGCTCTAGAGTAAAACAATTGAAAAAGAAAAACAACGACATCAAGCAGCCCATATTCACAAATTGGGCCAATCTTCACAAATTGGGATGTGAATCTGGGTCCGTTGTTTACGACTACTCCATTGAGGCGTTGGACATGCCTCAATTGTGCTTCAGCTACTTCAACCGAAATGGCAGTTGTTGTCAAGTCCATGATTTTCCCTTCTGTCACATTCACATTACCTTCAGGGACAAACCTGGCAAGTGCCTGTAGGCTACCAACCAGAGCAGCCTGCGGCAAGTTGCCCAGCTGGCAAAAAAAAAAAAAGAAAACTATCTTTCAAATTTTATTTCTTATTTCACATTTGGTAAAGAATTCCGGTGCGACCCGGAGGCACAAGCTGTTCAGTTTATTTTCGTGTACGACTTTTTTTGTTTTTTTTTGCTGGGCCCTTCCCTGGTCCTTGCACGGCCGGTCCGCCCGGCAAAACAAGGTGATCCGCGGGCGGCCCGGCTGCCCACCCAGGTGACCGGTAAAGTGATCCACTTGTCAGCGTTTCTATCATCTGTGCTTCAGCTCAGCTGAGAGAACTGCAAATTGCTCCACTTCCCATTTCTTCCTCCTCGGTGGGAGATGCGGGGGCCAAGGGGGCCATGAAAAGCCAGTTTTTTGCAGCCCCCTAAGGTCTGCAAAATCAGATCGTCATCAACACCCTAGTCCTCCAAAAAGGTCAGGTGTGCCAAACCTCGAGTAATTTCTCAAGTATTTTGCATGCGGGTGACATCAAACGGACAAAACAGGAGTTAGACTCGTGGTCCAACCTGCTGCCTTGCAGCTGAAAAATGAAAAACAGGAAAGAAAAGAAAAATAGAATGAAGTATCCATCCACACATGAATCTCTGCCCCTCCCCCGCCGGATCTGACTGTCATTCTAGCCACATTCAACGACATAAGTCTCGGTGTGATAACGCCCTGAAAAAGGAATATCCAGTCATTTGTTGAAAGATAATGCATGGACTCTGGGGCCCCACCCTGCCCTAAGAATGCAAAAACCCAACAAATCCCTGCAGCCACGACAAACGAACTAGACTTATTGCTTAGGACTGCGCCGCTTAAGAAAACGCGCGTGGGAAGGACACATAAGAAGTGGATTCAGAAAATGTAACGTCCTACCAGTCTCGACTTTATATTCCTCCAACGAGAGCCTGTGGGCCTGCTGATATTCCCTGACAACCGGATTCAGTGAACAGCCCACCCGCCTGAGGTTCTAAAATGTCAAAGCTACCCCCCTAGCATTGCGCCCGAGATCACGACCTGCACCTGGACACGATTACACGTGCACATTCAGAATCAACTGGGATGTTCGTTGGATACCTACCTGCCTCCAAAGACAGCGTCTGTGGACATAATCTTCCCTGATCACCATCGTTTGATAAACAGCCAATGTGAATTTGGAAATCCCCAAACCGACCCAATCCGATTTGCACCCGAGATCAGGACCTGTGCCTGGACATGGAAAAACGTAGCCACACAGTCTGATCGGGGTACCAGTAGTTTTGTTCGTTCAAAAGAAGATAAACTGGTCCCACAGCATCCAGATGTCTTCACAAGACTACACGATTTTCACAGATCTGCTGGGCCATATTCTAGATCTTCTTTGCAAACTGAGCTTAAAAAGCAGGGGGGCAAAAGGGGGGGGATCAGGGAAGGGCTCCCCGCTTACCCAGATTCTTTGTTTCTACCCATCGATCCTCATCATCTACGGTTTGAAGCGTGACGAATATGGATAAGTCGAGCCGCAGCCTGGGTGAGGGGAGATCGACTCGAAGCGAGCCGAGTCCTTTTCGTTTCTTTTCGAAATAATAATTAAGGGGAAAAGACTTTAGACCACTTGTCGTTTTCCGAGGTGTCGTCCTTCCGCAGCAACTCCTTTTCACGTACACGGACTTCTTTCGAGAACACGACCACCAGTTACCCAAATAGAAAGCAGGGCGTTGTGTATGAGGCTGTAGTGCGCTCAGAGGAAATACTCACCTTGCATGGTTTCAAAACCGCTCCTGTACCACCTGAGCTAGTTGGGAGGGAGCTGAACTGTTGAAATACAGGCCCGAGTTCCAACTCCACTGGAAGCAAATGAGTGAAAAAATACTACGATTCTGAATTTTACCTCGAGCCGGTCAGTTGGATGACGTAATTGCGGTCAGATACATACAGGAAAAGTCCTGTGCAAATGGCATCAATCAGTCACGCATTCTCTTGAGGAAGCCTCCTGAAGATTAGCAGCTGCCACATCAATCAGTTCTGCACTTGCAACTCTGTGCGCGGCGCTGCACTCCTCTCAAAATAAGCGTTTTCAAATGGGGGTCCGTTTTCCGTCGGAATGTGAAAACATGCCATTCACTTTCCATTTGTTCGTGTTTTCTCAAAAAAAAA